AAAGGGGGAGTAATTATAATAGATTCGGGATATAGCTAGTAATAAAATGCTAATAACTTAGCGAACGGTATACGGTTCGTATTATAAAAGAACTTTTTAAAAAGTAGAGCCCTTACGAAGGACTTTATAAGCTTTAGTCTTATAATATACCTATACCTATATTATAGCCTCGCTAGTTAAGTACTTATAGCCTAATCTCTTATATTAAGAGTAGTATAGAGCGAATAAGCTTACGGAATTTATTAAGTTATAAGCCCTAATTTAATTAAAATACGAAATTAAGTAAGTTAGTACGGAATAATAAGGGTAGGATTAATTAATATAAATATTATAAAGAGATCTTATTACTTAAATTATTCCCTTAGGTTAAAAAATTATATAGTAATCTAATTATATAAGAGGATAAGGTGCCTACTTATAACTATTACTTTACTTATTATACGTATAGCTTTTTTAAAATTATAAAGCTTTTCTAGCTAGGTAATTTACCTAACCTTAATCTTATTAAACTTTATTAGTTATAAATAAAAAAATAGATTATTAAAAAGGGGGCGCTTAGGTCCTAAGTAAAAATAATACGTCGTTAGTAAGAGTGCTAATACGTATTATTATTAAAGGAAATTTAAAAATAAATAGAAAGGATATTTTATTATATTAAATAGATAATTATACTAGAGGGTAGTAATAAATATAAAGAAGGTCGATAGGCTAGATTATATTATTAAATAGTTACTAATTAACCTTAATTAACGCTTTTTTATTATAAAATCGACGATAATTAATAATAATTATAGTGGCCGAATTCTGCTGCTTATATATACCCTAGCTAGCCCCTTGTCGACTCCCCTGTCTGTGGCAGGGGTTAGTCTTGGTAGCAACTGCAAGGACTATTGAGACGCACCTCCGTACTCCAATGGCCTAAAGCAGAGCGATGAACTCCAAGGATGTAACCCCGGGGGGCAAGAGGCTCCGGTTTCTCTCGACGGGCGCGGGATTATATCCCGACTAACCCCGGCCCTAGCAAAAAAACACATTTGGCAAGATGGAGCCCATGTCGTCATCGCAGGTTGATTAAGAACAACCAAACGCTTCAATCCAGTTTCCTCCAAGTTGACAACAAGTCCACAACATTGGTTGGGTGCTCAGCGGACCATTATTGATCCCCCTTGGCAAAGTCTCATCAACTCAGCGCCCGACTCCCCGACTCCAGCCAACCAAGCACCCCTGTCCGGGCTCCTTTGATGTCTCAGAAAGTCAGAATATAGCACTATACTAAGAATGGACATTAGCGTCGCGGGGCGGCTGAGGGGGGCGGGCAAGGCCTCATCGCCGACGGGTTCCTGAAAAGGAAACCCTTCGGCCAAAAGACCGCTATCATGACGCCCAGCCGCAGCCCGCAGGCAGTCTAAGCCTAGGTCTAACCAATGAGATATTCGCTGTCTTTGATGATGGTCTTGGTCCTGACTCTCAGCCCACTGTTTGCCTTCTTTGCTCACCACTTTCAGACCGAAGCCTCGAGTGCGTGCGAGTCACCCACACCACCCACCGTTACCCTCCTCTCCATGCCCTTCGCCGAAAAAGGCTTCGAAGGTTTGCACAACATGGAGGGAGACTCCACACTTCCCCGTGGGGGAGAGATGCAACCTGAGGGCCGTGTGTTCCACTCTGCCGGTGGAGAGCGTTAATGCTGCCCGCAGTCTGTCGTCGCCGGGAAATTGACAGATAGTCCTGGCACGAACCCTCGACGCCCTCAGTCACTCACACAACATTGCAGGAGCCCCCCTAGTCTGTAAACGGATGGGGTTCCCCAGAAATCCGGTTCTTGTCGTGTCCCGGTCTAATACTGCGCTACCCGTTGGTAGTCCATCTACCTAGTTCTCAACACCAAGCCCCCCAGAAAAGTATTTAGTATATAAGAGCCTCTTCGTCTCGGCTGACTTCTGATCTTCGTCCCATTCTGACCCCATCATCCATTCTCAGATACTACCTTCCGCGGCTGTGATTGCCTCATCTCCGTGGTCTCATCCTCATTCCTCCCTAGAGCACGCATCAACACCCATCGGATCGCAGCCATGGCGACCAGCTCAGACTCCCTGAAAAAGGCCAAAAGCCTCGACAACCCTGAACACGTCGAGGACTTCATCGACAATGTCGAAATCAACCTCAACCCCGCCGAGGATGTATCCTACGGCCGCAGTGGCTTCCGCGGCCTCGCCGATTCTCCATACGTCGGCGGCGCCGCTCTCCTGGCTTCGCTCGGCGGCTTCTCCTTTGGCTACGACCAGGGCGTTATCTCCATCATCAACGTCATGAAGCAATTCCACGACGTCTTCCCACAAGCCGCAACACCCTTCGGCAAGGGCTTCATGACGGGCATGCTCGAGTTTGGTGCGTTCCTCGGATGTTTGTTCATGCCTACGCTGGCCGACAAAATTTCCCGTAAGAGGGCGCTAGCGGCCGTTGTGGTCATCTTCAACATTGGTGCTATCATGCAGACCGCTGCGCCGAATTATGGAGTTTTGGTCACTGGCCGGACTATCGGTGGTATCGGCGTCGGAACACTTGCAATGGTGAGTTGAAGTCTCTCTTGAATCCGTCTTGTCTCATGGTGAGAATGAACGCTGGCTAACGAATCTCGATGACAGGGTTCTCCAATCTACATTTCCGAAATTGCACCACCTAACCTTCGAGGTACTCTTCTTGTGCTCGAATCTGTCTCCATCGTACTCGGGGTCGTCGTCTCCTTCTTCATTACCTACGGAACCCGTCACATGACCGGTGAGATCGCCTTCCGTCTCCCTCTCGGTCTCCAGATGGTCTGCGCGACCGGCCTCGGCATCGGCATCCTCTTCTACCCCTATTCTCCTCGTTGGCTCGCCCTCGTCAATAGGCCCCAGGAAGCTCTCGACTCCCTCGTCCGCCTCCGCCGACTGCCCGCCGACGACCACCGCGTTCAGACTGAGCACCGTGGCATCATCAGTGAGGTCGAAGTGCAGAAGATCATGCAGGAGAAGTACCATCCCGGAAAGCGTGGCCTGAGACTCGAACTCGCTGGTTGGCTGGACCTCTTCTCCCCGCGTCTCTGGCGTCGTACGGCGGTCGCCGTCGGCGTGGCCGTATTCCAACAATTAAGCGGAATAAACGCGTTTATTTACTACGCCCCGACCTTGTTCCAGTCCCTCGGACAATCGGAGGAGATGGCGCTCGTCATGTCCGGTGTATTCAACGTCCTACAGCTCGTCGCCGTGTGCGTGTGCTTCTTCGTTATCGACAAAGTGGGACGCAGACCGCTGGCAATCTTCGGTGGTCTGGGCGGTGGCACCTCATGGGGCATCATGGCAATCCTCACAGGTGTATATTCCAAGAACTGGAGCGCCAATACCGCTGCGGGCTGGGCCGCCGTCGCTATGGCCTTCCTCTTCGTTCTCCTCTATGGAGTTTCCTACTCCCCCCTGGGCTGGGCCCTCCCGGCGGAAGTCTATCCCAACTCACACCGCTCCAAAGGTGTCGCCCTGGCTACCGCAACCGTTTGGCTTTTCAACTTCATCGTCGGCGTCGCGACCCCGCCCATGATGGACAAGCTCGGGTTCGGCACCTATGTCTTCTTCGGAGCCTGGTGCTTCCTCTCCTCCGTCTGGGCCTTCTTCCTCGTCCCGGAGACCAAGGGCAGGACGCTAGAGCAGATGGACGAGGTTTTCAAGGATACTTCTGCGCAGGAGGAGAAGGATATCATCAGGCAGCAGATTCTTGCTCAGCGTGCGCAACCGCAAGGCGGTGCTGGTGTTGGGGGAGCCAAGTACTCTGTTTGATCAAGCATAGCAACATCTAGTTACGGGAGGCGTTTCTCATGGCATCACTCTAGGCAGGCTTTTGTTTTGATCACGTTTGTACATTTACTAGTACGATTACGGGCTATGGGATATGAATATCAAGATACCACTTCAAACTCACAAGTATTCTCCCCTGAAGTGATTTACACTGATCAGAACAATCTTTGAATTGCCTATGGCACTAATGTGGCGTTATTGAGTGGCCAGCGGAAGGGCGTGCTATGGCAACACTGAGCCATTTGTCCCTTGTGTGGTCTCAGCAGGATGCGGGTTCCTGGCCGAAATTGGCACGTTCATACATGTCAGGAACACGTTAACTGACTTGAATCGCGGCACAACCTGAAATTCTTCCTTTCAGCCACAGGAACTTGAAGGAACCGGCCAAGGACAGAGAAGACACGGCACTCACAATCCGGCAGATATCCGACTGCACAAATCCTGGAGACGCCGCTTACATTTCACCCCTCGTCATTGGGTTGCTCCTGAAACGCTACACTTTCTAGCCAGACTTCGTTTTCACTAGTGAACAGAGACGAAATTGCCTATTTTGGTAGGCGTCGGCGATGGTCTTGGACTGATCGACGACCGGCCCGCCCTTTTCCCCTCATCACCCCAATCTCCTCCACACATCCATCATGCATCCCCGTACGCGGGGGAAGGGGCGGCTGCACCGAGTAATGGCCGAAGGAACTCCAATGACTTACACGCTGGCAGACAGACCAGGCTGGCCCCTCAAGAGGGGCCAACTGAACCATTTCCCCAGATAAACTCATTCATCCCGTCGGTCTTCTTCGGACGGCGTGGAAGAAGGTAGCCCCATGATGCGGGGGAGAGCTTTGAGGAGAGCTGTGGCCCTCGCACCTTATGCGCCACCGAGAGTTGTACTCGCGTCTCAATCTCTCTTTTCGTCAGGAGAGGAAATATCTACGCGAGGTCAGTTGCCTTGATACGTCGCAAAGGCATCTCGACATGTTTCCTGGCGGGTTCACGACGGAATTCATATTCCTCTCGCCGTGAGCAGTAGATGGTATTGGGTCCATGGAGGATAAATAGCATGGCATCTGCAGAGATGAAGTCCAGAGGCTTGATCGCACCATCAAGAAGTCAACTCGCCAGACCTTCGCCCTCGAAACACCCACAATCTGTCGCATTCGTAACACATCAGCAGCTATGGAACCTCTCAGAATCGCAGTGGCAGGATTAGGACGAATGGTCAGAAATTCTTATTCGTCACAATAACACGAAGAAAAGAGCCCCGGCTGACAACAAACATAGGGTCGTCGCCATGTTCAGAACCTCATCTACCGCGTCCCGAGAGCCTCTGTAGTGGCAGTTTGTAGTACCGAAGCCCACGAGCTGGATTGGGCGCGCTCCTTTGAGGAATACAAGGAGTTCAACGTCACAGTGTACGGCTCGTATGAGGAGATGCTCTCCCACCCGGGGCTTCAAGCTGTGTGGATCTCCACCAGCACCGATGTCCACGCAAGCCAAACATTAGCAGCTATTAAGAAGGGTCTCCACGTGCTGTGTGAGAAGCCCTTGAGTACGAAGATGGATGAGGTACGATCAGCTTTCATCCCATTGCGACCTGACAGACATAATTCCCGGGCCTGGGGCTAATCTCTCTCCGTCATATTAGATTGCAGCCTGCGTCGACGCCGCCAAAGCCCGTCCAGACCTCAAAGTCATGGCCGGCTTCTCCCGCCGCTTCGATGCCTCCTACCGCGACGCCGCCACCAAGATCTTCGACAACAAGGCCATCGGCAGCCCCTTCATCGTTCGCTCCAACACGTGCGACCTCCTCGACAACACCGGCTTCTTCGTGCGCTACGCCCCGCGCAACGGCGGCATCTTTGTCGACTGCGCCATCCACGACATTGACCTCTCACTGTGGTACCTCTCTGACCCGATTCCAAAGTCGTGCTGGGCGACGGGCACGCTGCAGCACCACCCGGAGCTCGCGCAGATGAACGACGTCGATAACGGCGTCGGCGTCGTTGAGTTTTGGGGCGGCAAGATTGCCTACTTTTATTGCTCGCGCACGCAGGCCCACGGTCACGACGTGTGTACCGAGATTACGGGCACTGAGGGGAAAGTCTCGGTGAATGTTGTGCCGAGGGCCAATAATGTCGTTGTCGCGGATAAGCTTGGTATCCGGAATGAGGTGCAGCCTGAGTACTGGCAGCGCTTTGAAGACGCTTTTGCGCTGGAGGCGAATGAGTTCACTGAGTCGGTTCTCAGGAACAAGCCAGTTCCGCTGCCTCTTGAGAAGGGTGTCAAGGTTATGGAGATTGGCCGCGCTTTGCAGGACGCTCTTCTCACAGGAGAGGTTCAGAGGTTTAATGAAAAGGGAGAGCGTATCTAGAGGACAGAGGGGGGTCCCATGATTGGGTAGATTGGAACAATTGCAATACATGCTCTAGTTAAATAGAAAGTTCGAATACTCAGGTACTGGCTTCGAGTCCCAAGAATAACTTAGAGGCAAGCGCGCTCGCTCGAAAGGCGAATTTCAGTGGGGATTGAGATCAAGCCAACGGTTGACACACACTTTCAAAGCTCAGTGGACCGGGAGATACCCTACCTTTTGCAGTGCGGGAATGATACGTATTTTCCGGCCTCGGCCAACTCCCGCTCGCCGATCACCCAAACTCCACTTCACCGGGCTCCGGTGCTGAGGCGGTCCACTTTTCCGGTCAGCGTCGCCCGGCCCCCCCCCCCCCCAACTCAGGGTCATCCCCGACTGTATTACCAGTAGCAGAGCAACCTCATTTCGAAATCATCTGTCCGTTTTCTCCCTCCTCTGAGACCGTATTCAGGAGTTTTCCTCGAGTAGCATCTTCATGTAGCACGAATCCAAATACTACCATGTTAGGACCGACCTGCAGGTTGTGACGCCCGATGAGTTTGGGCCCTCTACAAGATCATGATGCGTCAGCAACGGCTCTCTTCTATATTCAACCGGATCCTCCGTCAGCAGCCATCACACCATTTTGTTAGATTGAGCTTTGCCGAGAACGTATTTCCGTTGGTGTCGGCCGCAAGGAGGAGCACCTTCCGGCACCTTACATTTACGAGCTGCACTGGTCCTCCTGATGACCACATGGATACTCCAATCTGCTTTAAGTCTCTGCTGTGGCTGTAGAAATACTTCTTCCTATATGTCTTTTGCAATGATAGTACAACTTCGAAACAAACTATCCAAATATCCACCTAGTACATAAAATACCCATGAATCTCTAGCTAACTGGTAGAAAGTTTACTTTGCTGCCTTCAATCTGACAATTGTCTTCATCGTCCCACAAGCATTCAATACCGGTTTTTCCAGTGAAATACCATGCATCCTCTACCCACCATCATCCTCGCCCTCGCAACCGTGGCGGCTGCTCAGAAAGTAGGCAACCTAGTCCAAGAACAACACCCAAAACTCTCCTGGCAAAATTGCAGCAAATTTTCCAACGGAACCACCGCCTGCGCCGCCGTTGACGCAGAAGTCGTCCTCGACGCAGAATGGCGCTGGATCCGCAACGCAAACAGCATCAGCAACTGCTACACCGGCAACCAATGGGACCTCGCGCAGTGCAACACGACCGCCTCCTGCACATTAACCTGCGCCCTCGAGGGAGCAGACGCGCAGAGCTATAGAGACGGGTACGGCATCACCACTGGGGGCAACAGCCTGTCGCAAAAGTTTGTGACGCAATATGCCTTTTCTTCCAACGTCAACTCGCGCATCTTTCTGTTGGAGCCGGGTGGGACGGATCGGTATCAGACTTTTGTGCTGATGGGGAGTGAACTCGCTTTTGATGTTGAGTTGTCGTCTGTTGAGTGTGCTATCAACAGTGCGTTGTACTTTGTGGCTATGGAGCCTGATGGTGGCATGGCGAGGTATCCTACTAATGAGGCGGGGGCGAAGTACGGGACTGGATATTGTGATGCGAGTTGCCCGAGGAGTAATCGGTTCGTCGGGGGGAAGGTGAGTATCTACGTTATCATGTTTATTTGGCATCTTTCATTTTGTGTCTCAACTGACTGAGCTCACTGATGCAGGCAAACGTCGAGGGTTGGGTGCCTTCAGAGACAGACCAGGTCCGTGGAACAGGGAATAACGGCGCTTGCTGTGCTGAATTTGACGTCTGGTAAGGATCTTGGTACGCTTTATCAGAAGAAAGGACTAAGAGCATGTCTCGAAACTTCTAGGAACTCCAATGCTCACTCATACTCCATGATCTCGAAACCTTGCGTCGACACTGGCTATGAGGTCTGCCAAACTACGGACTGTGATGCTGCTAACACAGGGGGCTCGGGTCAAGTCCTATGCGACAAGTTCGGATGCGACTACAATACATACAGACTTGACGAGATGGAGTTCTACGGCAAGTTCAAGACCGTGGATACAAGTAGGAAATTCACGTAAGAAACTCTCCCGATGGCGTCGACCATACTGTCTTTTCCAGAGTCGCACAAGATCCATTAGTGACTGCTGATACGAATGATACGAACAGTGTAGTGACACAGTTCTCTGAAGAGAATGTCAGGCAATTCTTCGTCCAAGATGGAAAGAGAATCGAAACACCCGCGGCATCTTATCCCGGATTTCCAATCACCAGTGGCCTGAGCCCCGACTACTGCAAAGCTCTGCCCACGAACTTCCAAGATCCCGAGTATTTCGCTCAAGTCGGCGGCTACTCGCGTCACAATGAGGCCCTACGACGCCCCATGGTTCTGACAATGTCCATCTCGAATGATGTGAGTCCATCACCAGTCACAAGAGCCCTCGCCCTTCTTGAAGGGGAGCTAATTTTGTCAACCAGCACTGGGCCAATAACCTTTGGCTCGATTCTACGTTCCCGCCGGATCGTGCGGGTCTTTTAGGAGCGGAGCGAGGACCTTGTCCTTCATGGGGTAACGGACCGGAACCTCAAGAGGTTGAGAGATATTATCCTAATGCGTGAGTCTGTGGAGGAGTCGGTGCGAGAGACTTTCTCGGTAGCTAATATTTCGATAGTAAAGTTGCGTGGTCCAACATTCGGTTTGGACCTATTGGGACAACAGTGTAACTTCGGTCGAAAAATGTTGAAAGGGATGGTGAGTTCGACGATGCAGTGAAAGGAGATCTAGACTCTAGTCAGGAGACAGACCTAATCTCCTTCATTGACATCTTTGGCACCAGTCGATACACCGGTATCGATGGTAAAGTTCCACAGTACGCGCTTGTTTAATCCTGCACATAGGTATCTCCTCTGAATGAACATCATTGACCGTACAAATGATATGTTCCGTATCTCCAAGCCAGGCGCATCATTGGCACTGCCGCAACTCCTTCCCATCAACCCAATTCCCATGCAACCCAGCCCTCAACCTCATAGGCACCTTCACCACCGCCGCAGGCTCCGTAAACCTCTTGGTATCAATAACATGCAACTCACTCGACATGGTCCCATAATTATTCACAAGCCCAATCAAGAACCCATCCCCCTCCTCCGCATCCTCCCCCCTCGGCACAAACACAGGCTCCTGCACCATGTGCCGCGACCCAGGATAATACACCTCCAACTTCCCACTCTCATGATCAAGATGCCCCAGCGAATTATACAGCGGATGCCCCCCGCCCAGCACGGGCATGATGGCAGGGAAATCGGTGCCCAGCGAGGGGTCCATCATGTCGAAGAAGCTGTGCCGGTGCGGCTTGGACAGCACGCGCTCGTCGATGCGCGGGAACTCCATGTCGTGGCGGAGGATGGGCGTCGGCGCGGGGAGGTCGAGGGCCGAGTCCGAGTTGGCGCGCGGGTCGAATTCGAAGCGGACGTACTCGGCGCGGATGTCGTGCGGGTCTGGGGCGTTGCCCTCGGCGTCGGGCCACCAGAAGAAGACGTTCTTGTCTGTGAGGGGCAGGTCGAAGACGATGTTGCCTGAGGGGGTCTCGTAGGCGTTTGTGGTGTGGCCTGGAAAGGCGTTTGGAGCGCGGAACCACTTTGAAGTAGAGAGAGATGTGGTTAGCTTTGAAACTCAGAGCATGACGAGGATAGCGGTATGGTTTTTACCTTTACGTCGGTTCCTTTGGCGCCGCGTCTGGGTAGGACGCCTAGATAGAAGGGCACGTTGGGATCCCATTGCCAGTGCTCCCCGCCCGCCTTCAACCGATCGATATCACATATCTGTGGAATCATCGGGAATAACACCTGAAAACGAAAGTCAGCAAACAAACACATTCGAAGTCTTCTGCTTTCCCAGTAGCCCATACCCAATTATCCGTCACGGCACAATCATGAATCATGCCAACAACAGGCGCAACAAGCCAAACAGTCTCGAGAAACTTGCCGTCAGGGGCGATACTGAAATAACAAACATCAGGCGTTCCGTCACCCTTTGCCTCGTACCCGAAACACACAAGCTCGCCCGTAGCGGGATCCAGCTTGGGGTGCGCCGTAAAAGTACAGCTCGGCAGCTGGCCGTCAAAGTCGCAGAGCCCCTTTGTCTCGAGTGTGATCGGGTCCATGAGATATGGCGGCGCGTCCTCCTTGATGGCGAGGAGAGACTTGTCGAAGTAAAAGATGTTTGTGTTGGCTGTGGTGCGTACTTTGAATTCGACTGCGTCCGTGTATTTGTTTCGATATGCGCCTGTAATCGTTGTCGGGAAGCAACGTGTCAGAGTCGTATGAAGTCGTAAGATCTTTGTAGAGAGAGGGACGAATGTGATTAACTAACCTGCGAGAGCTCGATTTGCCTCTCGTTCTCGGACAAACTTTTCTGTTCGCACGTATTTCTGTTGAAAATCGACGTTGCCGTTGTGAAAACAGAACGCTGATACGTTTCCATCGCCATTAAACCACTAACATCGAATCAGATGATATTCCCAGTTTTCAAAACAAACATGAAATGTTTCACGGCAAATCAGAAAGTAATCGCAAAGAAAGAAATTGATGCATCGCGACGCAAATACATACAGGGTCATTCTCAATGAACGGCGGAAACTGAGGATCCGGCATCACTCGGAAGAACGTGCCGTCCAGCTCGGCGGGAACGGTGCCGACGACCTCTAGATTCCGAACCTCGCCCTCGAAGCGGCACGGCTTCATAAAGGCCGAGAACTGGGGCCGATCCGGGAAGGATTTGGCGGGTGGGTCTGCGAGCGAGGCGCGGAAGTGGCCCGCCATTGTGTGATCTGAGCTGTGGTTCTTCGGGTGCGGTTGCGAATTTACGGTGTCGGTGGTGGTGGCGCGTGCAGGAGCGTGGGTGTGGGTGGGACAAGAAGAACGTTTTAAGGATTATACAAAGTTGGGCAGGATACTAGAAACCTCGAGACGAGGGATGAAAACCTGCTTTGCTACGATGCGGAGAGGAGATATTTAAACCTTTATTCTATTC